ACCAAAATAATAATACTAATTTTAATTATTGTGTGCTATGGACAAGTCATGGGTCCAAAAAAAGCATGTGGTACAAAAACGTGAAGGAAAGACAGTGTGCTGGAAAGAGAGAAATCAGCTGCCAAAACCCAAGGGCTCAGTGCAGTGCTAATCTCACTCTACAGACAAGGCAATAAGGTAGAGCCAGAGGCCATCATCATTCTTGTGTTGTGCTTTGCCATAGCCACAATGCACCACAAAAACAAGAACCCATTTAAAAGAGAATGAATTCAATAACATAGGCTATACATTTCATGCACCTGCTCTATTTATCTTACTAGTCAGATGTCCAAAAGACAGAAGTGATGCTTTGGACAAAACTAAAGAATTACAAGCCAAAATGCACCTTGCAAATCGTCTGTATTCAAATTCAAAATGCACCGAAATGACTAATTTAGGCACAAATCATCACACAGCACCATTTAAGTGCTTCTGAATAGTTTTGTAATTTGATTTGATGCCTAAACCTTGCTCATTAAAATGAAGACTAAAATTTTTTTTCTTTGTATCCTCTAGAACTAAATATTTCTTTAAAAGCTAGCCATGCAAAACGTCTTTAAAAAAAAAAAAGCATCAGCTTGTGCAACTTAAGTCATCAACAATGGCTGATGAAATTGATGTGTAAAATAAACCTAACAACCCCACCAGCGAGCTCCATTTTATTGGGTTGTAGAAATGCTGAGAAGAGACAACTAGTATCTCTGTGGAAACTCCGCTAAAGAGGGTGGGGACTATTGTAAATGCTGCCACAAACCTGCCCACTTCCTGTCAAGCTGCCGCTTAGAGCACGGTGACTGTAAAGCTCATAGAATGACTCAAACGACGAAGCAGACAGTTCATGTTATTCAACACAGACATCTTGAGGATTGATTGCCTTCTCAAAGGCCACATCATGCAGCTTGAATGGAAGCCATGCAGAGGCAGCAGATGTCTGTCGGGTCACGATGAGACTGTGGTGAGCAGCACGCTCATTCATCAAGGGCTAGCAGCGCTCATGCTGGGCTTGCATGCCTGCTCAAAGGGTACAACAACTCCTTCAATATTTAAGCAGAAAGCTGAAAAGACATGGGAGGAATGGGAGTCATGCTGTTGCCAGTTGTGTAGATGGTTTTTAAGAGAGCCTGCTGTGAAGCACAACTCGATCCATGTTGGTTAACAAGCTGTGAAGTACTGCTACCAGTGACATTTAACATGCTGCTCTGTGAGAGTGGCTACTGACAGCTCTGTTCATCCAAAATGTCAAACAAGACATAACTATTGTCTAAACAGGACAAAAACAAAAAGACATTTTGAAAGGTTTTCAGGTTATCATGAGACTGTCTTTGAACAAGAAAAGTTCTGGAAGACTTGACAAAAGTAGTTTTGGCAGGTCTGGAGAAATACAGTACCATGCTGATGGCGTAATGAAGGGTACCTAAATACCATTTTACCCACAAAAAAGCATTGGGGTCTATCATTTTGGAATTTTCATATATTCTTTTTACATGTCTACAATTTTTTTATGATCTTTAAGGTTATACATGTGTCAAAAAACAATAAATAAATAAATAAAGTAATAATAAAAAAAAAAAACATACATACATACATACACACACACGATACTGGAATTCGATACTATTCGGTACTGAAATTTCATCTTTTAGCCACGAACATTTGAGCGCCTATTTGCAATTGTATTTACATGCTCAACAGAAATGACTGCGATTGGCCATGAAGGTCATCAGTTTACCAAACTCACCGCTGTTTACTGAGTGTAACCACAGATACAGGAACACTGGAGGATTCCAAACCGTGATTCTGGATAGCTCGTATGTGAGCTTATAGACAAACCAGTTGATTGATGTGACTTTGAAATGCTCAAGTGTCGCTGTATCTGTGTTTACAATCAATAAATATCGATGAGCTTGGTGACCTTCATGACCAATCACAGTCATTTCTGTTGAGCACGTGAACTAGGGCTGTGCAATTTATTGAAATAGAATCGCAATCGATTAGCTAACAAACAAAACCAGGTAATTTGTAAGAGCTGTCACAGAATTGTTGCCACAGCACAAGGAAATACAACAACCAGCATTTAATAAAAGCACCAAAGGCAGCGACATGAGGAGCGTCTTGCTAAAAAGTCAACAAAGTATTGCCAGTGACACTCAGTCTAGTAGCAAGCAAAATACAATTCAGAGTTGTTTGCTAATACAAGTTGATATCTTTTCAATTCCTTTTTTTAACTAACACAAGAAGCTGCAATACATGATAGATTATTGAGCTGAAGCTTGACTACTCAAATCGCACAGCCTTGTTTAAGAATGTGCTTCACAGCACTCAAATGTTAACAGGAAATAGACATTTTTTTATAATTTCAGTACTGATTGGTAATGAAATCCAGATTATTCGACAACCCCTATATGCTTATCATTTTAAAATTAATGTTTAACATTTTTCTCATTGATTTTTCACACTTATGGGAATCAATTATGAAAAAAAATATTATTAAAAAAAATCATAAGATTGAAAAAAATATTATTTAAAAAAATCATAAGATTGAATCATTAGTCACTGCAGCATAAACAATAATAATAACCAGAGTTGTCCTTGCATAGTGTATTACAAGGTGGCCACCTTCATTAAATATTGTACCACCTCCACCTTTTGACAAAAATCAGGCAGGCAGTCATGGCTAGAGAAAGACCCCAAGTGTGATGCTCAAGCAGAGGTCATGTATTTAAATGCATTTCATGTTAGCCTTTTCAAATAAGACAAGGCTTTAACTTGATAAGATTAAAAATTGAAAAATGTGTTCGTTTCAGGAAAAAGAAAAATCATAAGCAGGACACAACTTACGCCTCATTTTGAGGAAGGAAAAACCCTGCAATGATGATGATAATAATAAATAAAAATGAAGTACTAAGCTGTTTACATTGTATACAAAAATCTGCATATGATTCACACTCAGTGTTATAAAAGAAAAAAAACATGATCTTTAAAAATATTTAAATAAAGCCATTATTGTTTTTTTTTTTTATTAAAGTTACTCTATTTTTATCATGCTGATACTGCATTAACCTCTTTTTAAATTTACTAAACTTGAAAACTTCTTAAAAATAAAACCAACTCAATTTTAATTGCCATTTTAATATGTTTTATGTATCTCTTCTGAGTTAAAACATTTACAATCTCAACCAATATGCGTGTAATTCCGCGACATTCACTCAGATTCTAAAACTGAATCAATGCCTGCCTTATCCAGCAGGTTATCATGACATTTAGTGATGGCTTTTGTGTACCACAAGTTGACACTAAAGTTAAATCTGTGTAAATACTGATAAACCATTAATGTATGCAGTATGCACTATTACAGATCTGCTATTTTATTCATATTATAATAAAAATAAATAAATAAATAGTATGATAGATTTAAGTATTTTTTATTATGTTTAACTAAGTTATTTGGCTCATATTTGAAATCATATCAATGTAGACAACAGAAAACCACAGTATACTGACACAGTTCAATTAAATGCCCATATATTTAACAAGACTGATAGTGAGAGAAATATTTGATCATATATATAAAGGGCTGTAAGTTACCTCTCCAATAAACATGCCCACACAAAGCTATTCATTTTATAATTCAGTGTAGATAAGAGAAGGTCAAAGTAATAAAAGACAACCTAGTCACAGTTTCAGGACTTCAAACGCCTAAGCTACCCTCTAGAACAGCACAAAACCCTGCCATGTCAGGTGAAATATCTTACTTTTTATTCGCAGACACCTCAAGTTCTAAAAACATGTCCTGACTTGTTCACACTTGGCAATGTTACAATACCCATCTGATTTCGGCAGGGATACCTGATTGTCTTATCTCAAAGACAATAACAGGCAGAAGAAGCACACTAAGAGCTGTACACTTTCTTTTTATGAATCGAACAGGACCAGGATGAGAACAGGTGAAGCGTGAAGCCAGGTGACTCATCAAGTACTACCCACGACACCTGAACACAAAACCTTGGATCATGTCGTGACATTAATAATCAACCTGTTATTAGTCATACTTCCCTCATACGTCATTTTACCTGTTAGGGAAGCATGGGATTTAAATATTGTCGGCTTACCTGTTAGTTTACTACGCAGTTTAGATCTCATGCTGGGTCATCAGCTTACAGTTTAACCATGTGTTGGTTACGGGAATGATCAAAGGCGCGAGGTCGACCTCCTTCACAGGGTTACCATATGTCAGATTCACGGTTAAAAAGAAGCAAATAGGATCACATGAAGAAATCAACCACACGCACGTGAACTGGCAAGGCTTATTTAGCAAATGATGTGGTACACTAAACGACTGACTCTAAAATGTACCGTATTTTTCCTAACCATAAGGCCACTAAAATCAAGAATATTCGGGGTGCCGATAAAGTCTTATCTGACTGAATTGACATTAACATTAGCACGCTGGCTAACAATTCAATCTCACACCCTCAGACACCGGTAATATGATATAAAATGACGAAGTGATCATCATGTTTTGTGTTCAAACACACAATTAAACTTTTAATTAAATGTATTATCCAAACAGTCGCGGGAACTAAACTGCCTGAATAACTTCTTGACAGGGTTTCTGTCTGGTGATGAGACCGCTAGCAAGCGGCTAGTAACGCAGTCCCGGACAGCCTGAGGAAAACTCCAGACCCCACATTTACAGATAATAAACCCAGGAACGAGAGTGAAAAACGAAACTGACCCCGTCAAAAATCGCTCGCAAATTAATACAACTAAAAATACCGAGTATGGAGTTTCCTTTCGAACGTACGCGGGCAAATGGCTGCCACCTTCGCGAGCTCCTTCACCGGCTGAAGCGAGAGCTTTTACAGATACAAGACACGGTCAAACAAACGTCTCCAGTAAACATTTTAACGTCGTTCAGTCCTATTAAATGCAGAAGGCGAAATAAAATCATATAAACTTACAAAGAACGGGCCAACCATTGAAATCCCTTGGCAATCCCGGAGAAAGTGCACGTAGAGCCGTAACCGCTTTCAGGGTGAAGTCGTATTTGTCGCCCTCACAGCGAAATCTGAATTGAGATGATCTGAAGGGGAGGAGTCAAGCGCCGACTGCGTCACATTTGCGCAAGAGCCTGTTGACGTTTTACGAGGATTTTATTCCAATACTTTGATAAACAATAAATATTGCTTATATAATCCATATATATATATATATATATATATATATATATATATATATATATATATATATATATATATATATATACCTTTTTTAATATAGACTAACGTTAATGTTGTTTATCTAATTCAAAACAATATTATATCGTTTCCAATAATAACAATGTTGTACTTTTACATTTTTCAAGTATATATAATCAATGTTTATTTTAATTTGAAGAAATTTGTGGCAAAATATTTTAACAACCTTAAATTTGAAGTTTAAGTCACACACACACTTATGAGCAGTTTAGAATGACTTCATATTAAGCTGCATAATTCAATAAAAAGTGTTTAGAACGTCAGTATAAAATCACAACAATATATGGTGTGGTAACAGTTAACATTCATCAGATGTTAACAAGTGTTTTCCTCAATGTATGAATACCTCATTAGCATATATTAGTTTTGGATTTACATAATCCAAATTAGAGTGAATGAATGCTTATAAGCCAATTTTCTGTGCTCACAGGTGGTCATTTCTGTAAGCAGCACTGGATGGGATATTCACTCCCCCTAGTGTTAGTTTATGTTCATTTCAATGAATGTGTAAAGTGAATGTGATAAAATCTGTGATAAAAAAGAATGTGATAATATATATATATATATATTACCCTAACAATCATCTATATATTGTAAATATTATTGCATAAAATCTGTCACTGGAATTGGTTTTAACATAATGTGGCTATTTAAGTAGTTCACTTGTCTCATGCATAGCATGTGTACTGACTTTATGAGATGTATTCATGCAATTCCATTGTCTATCACTTCTATAATTAGTAACACTTTAGCTCTTATTAGTTAGTTATAAAAACAAAACACAAATTTGATCAAGAAAGTCTTTATTGATGTTGCAACAGTACGGTCAAGTACTTGCAGATTTTGTATGAGCTGACAAAAAAAAAGTTCAATCAAAGAGTGCATTTTAATACCCAAAATGGATTGCGTAAGTGAATGCAATGAGACAAAATGTTCTATAGATCAACAGGTACATTATAAAACATAGAAAGTTAAACATTGGAAGCTGTTAAAATACACTGTAAGGTTATTTGTACGTTCAGGGTTTCGGTGGTCGGACATTCCTTACTGGATGTATAAATATGCCTTCATTAAGTTAATGTGCAATTGGGATGGTTGTTTCTTGTAATTTGACTAATACCAAACACATATCCCATAGAAAATAATCAAGGCTTTTTTTTCCAAGTCTGTTTTCGAACAACAAATAGAAGCAACATAAGCAGTTTTGAGATATTTTAGTGCAACGAATTCTTCAAATCTTCAATCCATTGCACAAAAACAATAGACACTCATTTGAGAAAATATCAGTCACAGTGTTAATATACAATAAAAGGTCATCAAATACATGCTGAAGTATTAGGATCTGGTGCCAAAACATTATACGGATGTGAATAATCTCTAACTGAAGCAACTAATGTCGTATAACTGTGCATGAAAAGTCAGTGAGTACATTCGTTTGCTAATACTTTTAGTCTGATTCAATAAGGGTCAAACAAACAGAAGCAAGGGAACTTCTTTAAAGGAATGATCCACTACGATGTCATATTTTAAGCTTTAGTTGATCTATAATGTAGCAGTGTGAACATAAACAACTTCTCTGAATATACTCAAAGTTCAATGTAAAGGGAGACATTGACTTTTATAGAGTTAGCTTAGCAAAGCCTACATCGAACAAAGTTTGGGGACTACAAAAAAATATGTGAGATCACAACGCTTCAGGTTGCGCGTATTCACCACAGAAACACACCCCGGCCCATGCAGCAAAGGGGCATAGACAAAGACGCTCTTATGTTGTGTTATAAGCTAAAATGGCATACAAATGCTGCTATTTCCACAGAGCTTGTTGTGTTTCTGTATCTGGGCATCCGAAGGACACAACACAAAGAGAGAAGTGCTAACAGTTTAATTTTAATCATGTTCCAGAGAATTATAAAAAACATATAGCTAGGATTCGACAAAGGACAGCTTCCAGAATCTCTCCCAGTTGGATTCAGCTAAAAACTCCTCCAACCAACAAAGTTGTTGATTGTGAGCCACAACCGGTAAGTATTTTTATTTGTTAAAATTGATCAACTACAGGCACAGTTTCTAACATTAACGGTATGTTGTAGTAAGGACGAAAACAAGGATGTAAACAACGGGAAATGCTGTTTGGCACCGCTAACAATTTAGCTAAAATTTACATTTATCTGTAAACACCCCCAATCTTCAGCAGTGCTGCAGTGTCTCTTTATGCAGATGCTTTCCGTGTGTTCTACATCTCAAAAGACAAACTCGCAAAAGATATGTGAACATTTCATATTACTTACACATGCTTTTTTCGGAATATATGTGAAAGACACTTGTAAGATTTTTTTATAGAGCAGGCATATGGTATAGCTGTGTGCTATTCATTTTCTGTCTGATTAAGGCACAATCAGATATGGCTAACAGCTACTGTTTACACAGCGCAAAAAACGTGAGCTTGTACGGGCGTGATGTGGTGACTTAGAGCCGATCCGTGAATCACTGCACATTATGTTAGCTGACCAATCAGAGCCTCGTGAGGTTGGGCCTTTCAGAAGAACTAGGAAATATGACAGCCGTTTTGATGTTAGCTGAGTAGCTGTATATAATCAAAGTAAGATATATGAAACATAATGTGCTTTTCTACAAATGAAGCATGGACACACATTGATTTGCATCTTATAAACACAACCAAGCCCTAAAATATACTGTGGACCACCCCTTTTAAAGAAGGACTTCAAACCTAATTTTTCACTCACTTCACTAAATATAAGAATCATTCATAGACAACACTGAAGCAGTGCTATCACAGTGTGATGATTACAAATTTGTCAATATTGTAATTGATTGGGATGTGCATTGAGTCAAATAAATCTTAAACGAACGCAAAAAAAGGCAAATGCATCAAGCAGGAAAGAGAAAAGAAAGAATGTTAACTGTTTAGAGAATGCAATGCAGTAGTTTGAATTCTGTAATGGAGAATTGAATTGGTACAAAAGAAAAATGTTACTTTCATACTCAATGCGTTAGTAGTCCCTTACTCACCAATGCACTGTAGGCTCTCTTATGAATTTGAAGAGAAGCTAAAAATGATTTGCTTTGACGTCGTGATTTTGATAGTATGAAATAAGTGTCGCAGAAAGAGCATATTTGTTTTGTGAATGCAAACCATGTCATCCAGCAATCCTCTTCAGACCTCCAACTGACACAAACTTGCCATGAACTGTAAATCATCAAGTAATTCTCTTCTTAAAGACTCTCAAACGCAACATAGTTGCACAAAAACCAACAATTTAGCACAGTAAATCAAACAAAACATATATACCTAATAACTAAGCAAAAACAGATATTCACCTGTCTGGTTTAATAATAAAAAATGATATGAAGCTGAGGATTATTCTTTAAATTACGGATGTATTTAAACATACAAATACAATAACAATGCTTGTATAGAATGTCTGCATTCTAAAATCTGAAATGTCTCAAGTAGCCTGTTTTATATAAGGGAAAAATATATAGGTGAATTTGACTGCAGCCAGGGGAACATACAACCCCAGAGTCAATATAAAGGACCTCAATGGGAGTCAGAACATTTGGCAATGTGTGCAGTCACACGGGTAAGTCTTTAAATGGTTACCTACACATTGCCATGTACTTAATAGTCTGATCGTGATAAACAACAACTACAACAACATCAATAAAATAACACCAATATATCAACATCAACCAAAATAATATAACAGTTATAATAAAATTATCATATAGGCAGAAAATAACAACACTTGAAAGTAAAACAATGATCAAATCAGACATTTGAAAGAGAGGATGAAAACAGAGACCCAGCATGAATCCTCCATCTTCTTCTTCAAACTCAGCCTCTCCGTCATTCAGTAAGTCTTATTATCTAGTCGCTGTTATTACAGATGTTACTGCAAGGCACTTGAGCAAGCAATTCTCCGCTCAGACAGACCGTTATGTGGGACACAGGAGGAACCCTGAGAAGGACGAATGGATGTACTCAGTGGAGTAGAGCCCATTTGCCTGGTCAGAGGGCATTTGCACCCAAACCTGGTCATTCTCCTTCAGCTCCAGCACTGCACTACCTGAAGCCTGGTCCATATAACCCTTCTTGTATTCATCATAGGTGTATGTGGCAGGCACATTGTTTTTATACAGTGCCACCCACAGACTGGTTCCCTTTACGTGTACATGATAAGCAAAGTAGTAGACTCCAGACAGTGGGCTTGTGAAAATGCCTGTGGCAGGGTTGTAAGCATTTTGCCCATTGTAAAGAGTTCTGTCAAATTTGATTGGCATTGCAGATGGTGGAAATGGGGTTGTCAAAATTGCAGTAAAAGCAGGAGCCACGGAGACAGAGAGCTCGGCATGACCAAAGTTTGGCCTTTCAACATTTGGTTTCGGAACAGATTCTCCTGCGATATTTGGACCTTGAACTGCTAACTGATTTAAATCACCGTTAGAGGGGCCAGGGGGCCCAGGAGGTCCAGGTGGACCCGGGGGGCCCTGTACACCGCTGAGTCCAGGATTGCCTTGTTTTCCTGGAGGTCCCTGTGGACCAGGCATCCCCTTGTCTCCAGGCTTTCCAATTCCTTGTGGCCCTGGTGGTCCTTGTTCGCCTTTCAATCCTGGAATGCCTTGAGGTCCCATATGACCAGTAGGGCCTGGGAGTCCAGGAATCCCTGAATTGCCACGTGGTCCAGGGGTTCCTGAAAACCCGTTCTCACCTTTTGGCCCTGGTGCTCCAATTAAACCAGGATTGCCTGGCAGACCGATGTGACCTGGTTCACCTTTAGGTCCAGGTTTGCCAGTGGCTCCGTTAAGACCAGGTAGACCTTTATCTCCTGGGAGGCCAGGCTTTCCTGCCAGCCCACTCGGGCCCTGATCTCCTCTAAGTCCTGGCAAACCTGAAGGTCCTTGTGGTCCATTCTCTCCTTTAAGACCTGGCATCCCAGGTTTTCCTGGAAGACCCATTAAACCTTGTGGACCTGGAAGCCCAGACTGTCCAGTTGGCCCTAAATCTCCTGGTAGACCTTCCAGTCCAGGTTCTCCTTTATCCCCAGGGACTCCTTGTAATCCAGTAGGACCTCTGTCTCCTTTCTGCCCTACAAGTCCTGGTTTTCCATAGCCAGGGGGTCCTGGAAATCCAGGAGTTCCTCTGGGGCCAGCTTCCCCCTTTGGGCCTATTGGGCCCAAGTTTCCTGGAATACCATCAAGTCCAGGTTTTCCCAAACCAGGTGCTCCTGGTGGCCCTTGTTGTCCCGGAGGACCAACTTGTCCAGAGGGTCCTTGATCTCCTGGTGCTCCTTTATCACCCTTTGGCCCCAATGGCCCAGGCAGGCCATTAATCCCTGGTTTACCCAATCCAGGGACACCAGGAGCTCCTGGAGGTCCTTGAAGGCCAGTGGGTCCCCTGGGACCTGTTAGACCTGTGTGTCCATTGCCATTTTCCCCTTTAAGTCCTGGTTCACCTGGAACACCACGTGCACCTTTACTCCCCGGCTCACCTCTTGATCCTGGCGGGCCTCTAGTGCCAGGTAACCCTGGTTTACCATTCAATGAAATACCTACAGGCCCAGGCGCTCCTGGTTGACCTTGAAGTCCCCGTGGGCCTGGCTCTCCACGAGGCCCAACCTCGCCATTAAGTCCTGGCAGTCCTTTAGGCCCTATTTTTCCTGGTAAACCTGGTAGACCTGGTTTACCAATCCCAGGTAATCCTGAAGGTCCTTGTGGACCAGTCTGACCATTGAGACCAGGCTTTCCTATACCTGGTTTTCCAGGTAATCCAGGGGGACCAGCTGGTCCCCTTGGTCCTGGCTTCCCTTGGGGACCTGGCTCCCCTGTTATGCCCGTCATCGGTGGAAAATCTAAAATAAAAAAGAAACAGAAATCAGGGATCATGGTTGACATCCAGAAATAAAATCCTATAATATTTAATAAAAAAGATTTAAGAATTAAAGATGCATGTTGAATGTACCCTGAAATGCTGGTGAGACTACACTCATCATTATGCTTTACTCTAAACCATGTTCAAGTATCTGCTCAATGACATCTACACCAGTATGAAATAAAAGCCCAATGGGCAATGAAAATGTGTTTATGGACAAAACATAAACAAGCAACAAGGACAAAGTTCTCAACAGCACTTGGCCTCACCAGAATTTCAGCAAGGGAACTGTAGTGGTGTCATTTGACATACATGTCTGCATTAAAAACTACCAATTTGCGTTAACAACTACATAAAAACAATGTAAATTTGCATGTAACCTGTTTGATAGTTTAAATTAGTGCTATGATGTAATAAAATGTCCAGAAGATGCCAGTTCTGAGAGAGATTGAGCCAACTGGTCAGTTTTAACAAATTTGCTTTTCACTTTAGAAACCATAAACACAAACAAACATTTGGAGCACAGTTTGACAAGAAACTTACGTGAGGAATTTATTTTATACTAAATGTAGTGCAATTAGCTAACAGAATTATCCCACATATATAATATGGCTCAGTATTGCTAATGTATATCCATCTGTCCACTTATCTGTAAACATTTTGCAAATCCTCATCTGCTGCAAAACGCTGTAATGTAATTTTAAAGCGCCCTCAAGTGGTGCAATAGGTCTATTACACAGCCCTATGCATTCAGTATCTCTCCCAACAGAAATTATATAGATTCTTACTTTTCCAGTGCGGACTAATACAGACAATCTCCTAAACACATATGAAAATGGAAGCAGTAAAAAAAAGAACAGAAGACAGAACAAAGTACACATGACATAAGCAGTTGACTTTTTACGGCTATTATATAGTCTTATTTGTTATCCATGCCCGTGGGTGTGCTGTATTTTGATACATTTTAAATAAAAAATTCCTTATGTTCCAACTTGGCAAGCAATGTGTAATTTGACAGACACTTCTAAAGCAAACTCCTTTTTTTCAGAACATCTGCCAGATGAGCATGTCTTTCCACGTCCACTAGATGGTAGTAAGAACACAGTTTTTCTTCAGGGATTTTTTCAGCAGTGTTGTTTTTTGAACAGACATGAAATATTTAGTAGCCTGTAACTTTCTCATTTTCTCACTTTCAACATTCCACGACAATTCCTGTTGCACCCATATACATTTAAGCTCCATAAAACATAAAAAGTAATTTATTTATTTATTATTGTTTATTTTTTAAAGGGAAAAAAAGAGAAATTCCTACATTTCTGAAATGACAGAGGGGTCCTCTTCAGATATTTTGAGTATAAAATGATCATGTATGTCACTTAAACACACCACTTTAGTTAATGCTTCAAATGTTTAAACTTATGGTATAACACAAAAACATTACAAAAATTGAATAGTCCCTGCATTACATGACACGTCCATAAATAAATGCTGTGTCTTTTTAAGTGAAATACACAAATACTTTGACGCACAAAAGCTTTCCTTTAAAGTAACCAGATGCTAGAGGACAAAAAGGATAAGCAATCTTTGTCAGCAAACCACAGACATGCAAAAACCTTATGAACAATCAGCAGAAAAATGTACACAGACATCTAAAATCACATTAGTTGAGTAATTTTGATTACTAGGAATGCAAGTGACATCTTTTTTATCACTTTAGTGTTTATAGCACTCACTTTATTTTGTAAACTGAGAATTAAAAAACAATGTTCATGCCATCTTGAACTTGGCATCACATTAAACATTAAAAAGTGACTATATATTCATTAAAAGCATATTAAATGCAAATAAAGTGTCTGCTTAATGTTTAAAATAACTTTTGTGAAAATAAAATGTAAAAAAATTAGTGATCTACATACAGTTATATATATTGGTCAAAATGACACAACATCACTGATTAATGACCTGACCTTAATAAAATAAAGGTAAAAAAAATTCATTTTCTTTTCAGTTTAGTCCCTTTGTTAATCTGGGGTCGCCACAGTGGAATGAACTGACAACCTATCCAGCATATGTTTTATGCAGCGTATGCCCTTCCAGTTGTAACCCAACACTGGGAAACACCCAAACACACTTTCACACACATACACAATTTGCCTTATTCAATTCACATATACCGCATGTCTTTGGACTGTGGCGGAAACCGGAGCACCCAGAGGAAACCTACGGCAACACGAGGAGAACAAGCAAACTCCACACAGAAATGCCAACTGGCCCATCTGAGGCTCGAATCAGTGACCTTCTTAATGTGAGATGATCATGTGATGCCCCCGTGACGCCACCAAAGAAGAAGCTATCATATTTAATAAACAATGGTTTGACTAAAATAACATAAAGTAGTTTGACTGATAGTGGGAAAATAAACATTTTATATGGCAATTATTTTTAATTTATGGGCTTCAGCTGTTATCTTGATTTTGTACGTTGTTTTGTATATAAACCCCTTTTCAGCTTGGATCTCTATCCAGTAAGATACAGGGTTTCTCTGGTTTTATTCAGCACTGATTAAAAAAAATCCATATATACCCACCGGCCATTTTAATAGGTACAACTGCTAGTACTGCTAGTACAACGCACATTTCTAATATGCCAATCACATGGCAGCAACTCAATGCATGGTTGCATAGAATACATGGTCAAGACCAAGAATCAGAATGGAGAAGAAATGTGATTTAAGTGACTTTGAATGTGGCAGGGTTGTTGGTGCCAGACGGGCTGGTCTGAGTATTTCATAAACTGCTGATTTACTTCAATTTTCACGTACAACTATCTCTAGGGTTTACAGAGAATGGTCAGTAAAAGAGAAAATATCCAGTGAGCAGCAGTTCTGTTGGTGCAAATGCCTTGTTGATGCCAGAGAAGAATGGCCAGACTGGTTCGAGCTGATAGAAAGGCAACAGTAACTCAAATAACCACTCGTTACAACCGAGGAATACAGAAGAGCATCTCTGAACGCACAACACGTTGAACCTTAAGGCAGATGGGCTACAGTAGCAGAAGACCACACCGGGTGCCACTCCTGTCAGCTAAGAACAGGAAACTGAGGCTACAATTTGCAAAGGCTCATCAAAATTGGACAAGAGAAGATTGGATAAATGTTGCCTGGCCAGATGAGTCTCAGCTCTGCTGCGCCATTGGGATGGTAGGGTCAAAATTTAAAAGTCAACAAAATGAAAGCATGGATCAATCCTGCCCTGTATCAACGGTTCAGGCTAGTGGTGGTGGTGTAATGGTGGGGGGGGGGTGGGGGGGGGGTATTTTCTTGGCACACTTTGGGCCCATTTATACCAATTGCGCATCATGTCAAAGCCACAACCTACCTGAGTATTGTTGCTGACCATGTCCATCCCTTTATAACCACAGTGTTCCATCTTCCGATGGCTACTTCCAGCAGGATAACGCACCATGTAATAAAGCGTGAATCATCTCAGACTATTTTCTTGAACATGGCAATGAGTTCACTTTACTCAAATGGCCTCCACAGCCACCAGAGCTCAATCCAAAAGAGCAACTTTGGGATGTGGAGGAACGGGAGATTTGCATGATGGATGTGCAGTCGACAAATCTGCAGCCACTGCGTGAAGCTATCATGTCAATATTGACCAAAATCTCTGGGAAATATTTCCAGTACCTTGTTAAATCTATGCCACAAAGACAGTTCTGAAGGGAAAAGGGGATCCAACCCAGTACTAAGGTGTACCTAATAAAGTGGCCAGTGAGTGTATGTTCCACACAGGTTTGGAACACCAAATATGTTTTCTGAATTTTCCTCTAGATAAACTTTGTCAGCAGTAGGCAGCTAAACCAATCACATCCCAGACAAATCTTACTTGTCACTTCTATTGACCTCTGTTACATCTTTAGCACCTTCTGTACGTCTTTCAATCTGACACTCACCCTGGATATCTCATCAGCTCGAGGCCTTCTTGACTTGTTTTGACACACCCTTTAGGTCTGCACTGTATTGGCCTGTGAAATACTGCTCCAGACGGAGGCGACATCACCTCACCCTGATCCTCTTTCATCTCCTCTAACACTCTCACAATGCCCTTTTATATATATATATATATATATATATATATATATATATATATATATATATATATATATATATATATATTAGGGATGTAACGGTATTGTAAATACCGTCATACCGCAATATTAATTTTTTTCGATATTACCGTAGTCGCATGAATCGGTAAAACTATAGGTCTTCAGAGAAAATTTGCACAGGCGAATGAAGCGAACGGGAGGTACCGGAAACTACAATTCCCATCAGCCCAGGCTTGGCCATAATCCCTTGCGGTCTGTTGTCGCGACAGATCCAGTAATGCGGTAATGGAGTGTGCTGCTAGAAGCGGGGATGAAAAAGCGCTGGAAAACCCTAAAGCGGGTGTTGTCGCCGCGCGCGTACTGAATAGCGGTGTTGTCGCGCGAGTTCTTATCAGCTGTGTTGTCGCGCGCGTACTGAATAGCGGTGTTGTCGCGCGAGTTCTTATCAGCTGTGTTGTTGCGCGCGTTCTAATCAGCTGTGTTGTCGCGCGCATACTGTAAAGCGGGGACGGAGGGTATGTCGCGTCGCGGGGGCACTTTTGATCATTTTGGAAGGGCACTTTCTATCCAAGACTAAAAAGGGCATGTGCACTGCACAGGTTGAGCCCTGTGTGTGCACGTGCCTGAAAGTTGGGGAATACGACTAATAATCAGTCATGGGGACTGCAGAAACACAGCACACTGTTCAGATTGATGCAGACATGAGATCTCTATCTCACTCATGGTTTGTCCTCTCGGAAAGACAATGCACAACGTTACCCACTGCTGTCAAACTGGGCCAAGTCATATCTCTCTTGTCCCAGAAACCTCAGTCCCAAATGAGAGGGTTTTTTTTTTTGTTGCAGGGGACATTGTAAATACCCAGAGATACCAGCTTTTACCAGATTATATTTATATGATAATTTTCCTTTAAACCCATCTCTATCTAAGTGAGTGAGTGATTAAATGTTGAATGTGATGAGTTTTCAACACTACTAAATTGAAACGTAATTTTTTTACATGGTTTAATATTTTTTTGTTATTAAAATTGAAGTTCCTGTTTCAAAGCTTACAGATAGGTGACTAATTTGTATGTCATTGACACTTTTGGCACTTTTTTGGAGTATTTTCATAAGTTTTGTTTTTTCCTGTAAATGATTCAATAAATACCGTACCGTGACATTCATACCGAGGTATTACCGTACCGTGAAATTCTGATACCGTTACATCCCTAATATATATATATATATATATATATATATATATATATATATATATATATATATATATATATATATATATATATACTGTATTATAGAGCGAGAGAAGTCAGTGAATGGCATTCTCATTCTATCCTGACCGCCCTCCTCACCCATTCGTTGTTTACTTTCACTTCTTCCACGACTCCTCAACCCCCTTTACTTTTGTCCACAACCTCCCCCAGCCCTCCCTCTGCAACACCTTTCTATCCTCAGGTAACATGCCGGATCCGTTACCCCGATCTGTTCAGGGATCTCGCAATTCACAAATTAAGCACTGGTTTGGACAGAACATTTTTGATTGGACAAACGTTTTCCTGTGCTGCTTCCCAAATTGCATACTTCCATATTATATAGTTTGATAAAAACAGTAGGTAACACTTTATTTTGATGGTCCATTTGAGTATTAGTAGACTGTCTGCTTAATATCTGTTGATACTGCTCCTTCAACAGTTGTATGCTCCTTCAATTTACAAGTACATGTCAACTTACACTAACCCTAACAGTCTACTTACAATGTAATGAGAATTAGTTGGCATGTAGATGCAATGTAACTTAAATTCAACAAATGGACCATCAAAATAAAGTGTGACCAAACAGTATGCAAGCCAAGCAGTATGTCTGAATTCAGAGTATTGGAAAAACAGTGATTTTTAACTGTGGTTTTCAATCAGTTGAACGGTTGGAATGTGCAAGTTGCTGGAATATTGTGCTGACAAAGAGTTGAGTATGTGATGAACAGGATTCTACCCAACAAACTGTTTAGACTAGAGCAATGATTAAAGACAATGCTTTATCATCTGTTTGTTTGTCTGTATAAAAACTGGGCTCGATGGACCACAATGTAACCTCTTGTGTTTCTTCTGTATTGTTCCCTTGCTGCAAGAACATAATTTCTTTGAAAATGAGTCTTCCTGAGTCTTGGAACAATTTTGATCCTGACAGCTTTTGTTGAAAAATTTTTATGAAGCAAGCATATTTAAATGACTCAATGGATTGTTTGATGGCAAAACTACATAGATATAAATATGGATGTTAAATTGAACACTCACCGAGATACTGGCCCTTGCCTTCTCTGAAGGGAGGCCCAACAGGCCCCTTCATCATGGGCTGCACGTACTTCATCTGAGGCATAGGAGCGTAACCTCCACCAAGGGCATGATTCCCCAGGGTTAGCAGGACACAGAGCACCGTCAGCATTGTCAATGGCCTCTGGGGTCACAAGATTACAAACTGCAAAGAGAGAAAGATCATCAATTCATTGTTAGTTTTCTTTTTTACTGCAGCCTTTTACCTTTTTGTTTGTATTCATTAAAGTCATGATAAGGCTTTTCACAATAGAAATAGTTAACCCTGAGTTATTTCTAAACCTCAGTAAAGGAATTCTGGATTATTTTGCTTTTGGTTTCACAATAATCATAACTTTGTCTGTAATCCAGCATAATGATACATGAATGTTTCTTACTGTGCACTATCGACAAAAGTCTTGTAATCAATGCCAGGTGTAGGAGCAACAAACAATAACTTGACTTCTAGCTGATCATTTGGAAAAGTGGCAGAAGGTAGATTTTTTCAATGAATCATCTGTTGAACTGCATCCCAAATACTGCAGAAGACCGACTGGAACCCGCATAGACCCAAGATTCTCACAGAAATTAGAGTGGATGGCAACATCAAGAGGTGTCAAGACATTTGTGCTGCCCATTACACTACAAACTACAGGAGAGGGCAAATTCTTCAGCAGGATAGCGCTCCTGATCATACTTCAGCCTCTACATCAAAGTTACTGAAAGCAAAGAAGGTCAATGTGCTGCAGGATTGGTTTGTCCAGTCACCAGACATGAACATTATTGAGCATGTCCGGGGTAAAATGAAGGAGGAGGCATTGAAGATATATCCAAAGAAGATGAACTCTGGGAGTCCTACAAGAACGCTTTCTTTGCCATTCCAGATGACTTTATTAATAAGTTATTTGAGTCATTGCAGAGATGTATGGATGCAGTCCTCCAAGCTCATGGGAGTCACACATAATATTCATTCTTTTTCCACTGCACCATGACTTTATATTCTATACTGTACATTATTTCTGTTAAGTGTCAAGAGTTTTATATCAGCAAGGTCAGACCTTACTGCCCTAATTAAATAATTAAAAATCAAGCCATGATCATATTTTATTTAGGTAAAATAAGTATAATCTAGAGGCCTTTGCCTTTCGTATAAGCCACTTCTGATACCAAATCATCAAGTTATTATTTGTTGTTTCTAAAACTTAAATAGGCAACAAGACTTTTGTCAGGTAGTGTATAATACTAAACACTGGGTTACATCCTCATTTGCATATTTGAAGTTTTTGTATCACTGATTGGATGAATACAAGAGTTGCATATCCTCATAATATGCTGGCAGCATGTGTGTGTGTTGTATTCAAAATGCATTGTCATTCCAAGTACATTTAGTGATTATACATTTTGTAACAGCAAATACATGAATGCAAATATAAATACAGAACAGCTGAAACATTTTTAAACTAGGTTGTAAGCAACCCTTTCTTGGAGTAAAATGATTGCACATTTGATGATGAGCTTCTAACTAGTGTCTGAACATGCTTCACTTAGACTCATTCATTCATTTTTCTTTAGATTAGTCCCTTATTGATCAGAGATCATCACAGCAGAACGATTTGCCACCTATTCCAACATATTTTTTCGCAGCAGATGCAAACCAGTACTGGGAAACACCCATACACACCCATTCACACTCATACAGTATGGCCAATTTAGTTTCTCCAATTCCCCTGTAGCGCATGTCTTTGGACTGTTGGGGAATACCAGAGCATGTGGAGAAAACCCACGCGAACATGGAGAGAACATGCAAACTCCACGCAGAAATGCCAACTTTACCAGCTGGGACTCGATTCAATAACCTTCCTGTGAGGCGACAGTGCTAACTACTGAGCCAACATGCCACCCTTCTCTTTGACTCACCCACAGTTCTTTGACGTGATGATAACCCATTTCTCAATTCTGTGGTTGTTTGGTGTTCTTGTGAGGTTTTCACAGCAGTTTTTCACCCCGTGTTCTTTACTTCAAATCATCTTAGAGATCTGACCGATAATTCAGTTTCCCTTCACATAGCGTTTATGTTGGCATTCCCAACGTACTCGGTTGAATTTCAAAGTCCTCCGCCAGTCAGCATTACTGCCAGTAGGTGTAATAGTGAGTGACAGTGGCATACATAAACAGCTCTCCAAGAGGCACATGAAAGTTTCTCTCTTCTCACATATGAGCTACCAAATGCTGAGAAAATAACCCCTTAACATCGGTCCAAAACTAAAAAAGCGTAAGTAAAACCCTTCACGGTAAACTTCTGAAGTGAACTGTTATTTCAGGCCACATTTCAGTACTTCATGGAAACAATTGCAGATTGAGTTTTTGGTGTAGACAAGCAGCCATGTCAGGAGTACACTGTTTCACTCTTGAGATGCTTATAAAAAGAGCATCTTCCTTCATTGCTGGCTGTCAGACGGGTCACTAAGTAGAGTTACTGACCCTATGCAAGATACGCATGGACGATGAGCTACGGATGCCGAAGCCTAGTGTCAGTGCCTCAATGTTTAACCAGTCGCTCCCCGAGATGGCTGCAGCTGTTTGCTTTAATTTAGCGGAGGGAGGAATGATAATTCTATCCTCATGTTACCCGCGCCAAATATTTACACAGATTTGATCAGGTGCATGGGAGGGACCACTGGCTGCTAAAGAGGGGTGCTGATGGCATTACAGTGGATTATTAGTTTGGTTTACTTGCTGTGTAATGTTGCATTCTTGGGCAGCACGGGGGCTCAGTGGTCAGCACTGTGGCCTCATAGCAAGAAGGTCACTAGTTCCAGTTGGGGCAGTTGGTATTTCTGTGTGGATGTTCTACGTTTGCATGTTCTCCTCATTTCTTCTGGGTGCTCCAGTTTTCCCCCAGACCAAAGACATGCGCTATAGGTGAATTGGGTAATCTAAATTGTCCATAGGCGACGCAGTGGCGCAGTAGGTAGTGCTGTCGCCTCACAGCAAGAAGGTCGCTGGGTTGCTGGTTCGAGCCTTGGCTCAGTTGGCGTTTCTGTGTGGAGTTTGCATGTTCCCCCTGCGTTCGTGTGGGTTTTCTCCGAGTGCTCCGATTTCCCCCACAGTCCAAAGACATGCATCACAGGTGAAATGGGTAGGCTAAATTGTCCGGAATGTATGAGTGTGTGTGCGAATGATTGTGTGTGGATGTTTCCCAGAGATGGAGGGTTGTGGCTGGAAGGGCATCCACGGCGTAAAAACGTGCTGGATAAGTTGGCGGTTCATTCCGCTGTGGCGACCCCGGATTAATAAAGGGACTAAACCGACAAGAAAATCAATGAATGAATGAAATTGTCCGTAGTGTATGAGTGTGTGTGAATAATTGGTTGTTAATGGGTGTTTCCCAATAATAGGGTAGGGCAGGAAGGCCACTGCTGCGCAAAACATATGCTGGAATAGTTGGTGGTTCATTCCACTGTGGCAACCTCTGAAATAGAGACTAAGCTAAAGGTAAATAAATGAATGAATGAAAAAATGTTGCGTTCTTTTGAGTACCTGAGCTGTTTTTCACATGAACAATTGTTTTTGGTTGTTTCTGCTTGTGTTTATGGAATCAGTAGATCTAAAATGATGGTTTGTCCCTAATTATAAACATTCATAAACATAAATATTTAGTATTCTAACATGATTGTATGCTTATGTAACCCCGCCGGTCCTACGCCACCCAACCCTCTCCGAGCTGGTATCGAACTGGTGATCTTCCGCATCGGAGTCGGGTGTTCTACCAAGGAGGCTAAAGACCATGGCCTCTAGCATCTGTCGCTAGAGCACCTTTAAGGCTGATTTATACTTCTGCGTCAAACACCGGCGTATGCTACGACGCTAACGCATAGCCCTTCGCCGTGGCCGTCGGCGTCACTGATGTGCACCTCTCAAAAAATGTAACTACACGTCGCAACAACGCGTAGTGTATGCTCTGTGATTGGTCGGCTTGGTAGCGCTGACGAGTCTGGGCAGGACGACAGCCGCGCGAATGGCGCAAGCGATTGTTTACAAGTGTGGAGTCTCGTGAAGTAGCTCCGGATGAAAAGTTTTGTTCTGTGTTTACCTCATGGTTAAAGTTGTTGCACGTCTGCCAGTTCCTGCCTCAAAATGAGCGAGTTTGAGTCACTTGTACATCCAGGAAGTGTTTAGAAAAAGCAAAGCAGCAGCGAAGAAACTCGACACAGAGGAACATTTACACCTCACTGCCAACTAGCGTTTCGGAAGTGTTAATGCAGACCAACAGAGACCGCGTGCAGATGTATAAATGCACAGCCACGCGCGTTGCCTGCGCCGCGAGTAACGCCGGTCACTTCACGCAGAAGTTTAAACCAGGCTTTAGAGGTCAGAGGAGTGAGGTTTACCTGCACAACACCTACTAGCTGGCCTCCATTACACTTAGCTGAAATTATAGAACAGTTTCCTGTAGTTTGTGGTTTTGTTTTCAGTTTAAAGCAGCCATATTATGGAAAAATCAATTTTTAAGGGGTTTAAACGCAGTTGTGTGGCAAAAGTGTATGAATATAGCCAGGCTCTAATAGCACAAGTTAATAATACAAATTTTTATAATCACACTTCATAAGAACAGTCTGCAGAAACAATTAGATTGACCTTTTCCCTTTGTACATTATCAGAGGAGGAAGTCCTGCCTAATAGTGACAATCTCACTGAGGCATAGGTGTTTGCACTGCACTTCAATGATGTGACTAAAATCAGCAGACTCCACATTTAATTTGATTTCTGTTTAGTTCAATTGTGATCTTAATCAGATTAAATTGAAAAATGTTTACATGGTAGAACCTTAATCAGAGTATTGTCTTAATCGTATTAAAAAGGGTTTATTGGTGTCATGTGAATGTACTAATTGTCTGATGGACACATGTTTTTTGTTTGCTTCATTGGTTTGCTCAGTATAGTTGAGGCATGATACACAATACATTTTTCCTCTCATTGTGGTTTATTCTCTATCATTTTTTTCTTAAATTAATCCTTCAAATAATTCCTCATTCACCTTCCTCCTCCCAAACACAACAGAAACAAGTCCATTCTCAAGACGGACTATCTGTCTTGCAACTCTGGCCTCAGATCTATGATTGATTCCTGTTCAGTTGCTCCACACTTCACACCACACCTGGATGA